CTTAAGACTTCTGTCTATTCCTTAGTAAAAGTTTGTCTCAGCAGCTTTGTGAATAGGTTTTAAGAGAAAACTCTTAGGTAAAAACTTTTACTGCTATTTAGGAGAACTCTTAGTGGTAAGATCAAATGTTTTGTGAATACGGGCTCAGTTCTTCAGTCGTGTTTCAGTGTTTTCAAACATTTTAAGCATCACTATCATGAACCTATGAAGAAAATGCTTCTTAAATTAGTTTTGTTCTGGTTGTGTTTGTGGCGTCTGGTTGGTGAGTTTTACTTCACATTTAAATGATTAAAAGTATTTTAGTGAAGCTTCATCAAACTGACATCAAGTGATTTTGATCTGTGATAAACTCTGTTCTTCAGAAGTGTTACAGGACAGGTGTCAATATCAGTGACGGAGGGAGAATCAGTCACTCTAAACACTTATTTTATTCAAATAAAGCAGGATGATTAGATTCAGTGGTGGTTTGGGAAATATTTGATAGCTGAAATCAATGTAACGGCCGGCAGCACGACAATATGATGTTCTTGAAACTCGAAAAAGCAGAAACAGACTGAAGCTGGACAATCAAACCGGATCTCTGACCATTAAAAACACCAGAATAAAACATGCTGGAGATCAGAGGTGTCATGCCCATTTAAACAGAGGCACGTGCCCCCTCAGATTTTTGAGCCAAGTGGATTGTGAATGCAGCTTACAAAAAAAAGCCAAATAATATTTTTTATATTTCATACAATCACACTGGCGTGATTAGAACGTGCAGTGTGTCACAGGATCAGCTGCTAAATTCAAATCTGCGTTCACGCTTTGGCTGGCGCTGAGTCAGAAACAGACGCTTTTTTACAGCATTATAACCAATCATGGTGAGTCACAATTACATTGTCATTTGTGCTGCTGGTCTTCATAGTAATAATTCACAAATAATGATTTATTTAATATCACATACACAGTCTTTTTGTTTTCATTTGGTCATTATTGTATGACATGTTCTTCTCCAACAGTGTAATCACTGGTGTAAGGGACACCCTACAGCTCCCTATGGTGGGCCACATTACAGATACAACTATCAACCTGCAGCCTTTGCTTTTTTAGAACAGAATTTGATTATTTAATCTTTGCATTTAAAATTTTCAGAATTTGTAGAGTGTGTGCACACCTCGTCCTCTCTCCCTACTGTGCTCTGTTCTGTCGAATAAAGCAGGGAGTGAATTGCGGCATTCAGAGGGTCATTAATGCAGTGTTACCAATACATGAAATATACAGCAATAATACAACGTTTCCATGAGTGGACTACCATAGAATATCATGGCCTGTATATCCCAGCTAATGCTAATCTAACTTGTCTTCCCAGAATAGTAAAAAACCTTTCATGTTTGTTATATTTTTCTGGCTCATGGTGCCTTCACTGCATGATGATTGAAATTCTAACTGTATTTATTTAATCTGAACATTTTATGGCACAGCTCTGCATGACGACAGGTCTTCAGCCGACGCTTTTCGTCTCACGTGCATCTGATTGACAGATAAACTGTGCGCTCTTATTTCAGTTTCTGTCATTAATGTTGTAGTTAATTCAGCAAAGATTTGACTTCGTACATGCAGTTAAAAAGGTTGCATCAAGTTAAAAAGGACAAACTTCATTCAACTGAGCTGTGCACATATTTTAACACTTACATTAGGCCTATGTTCTTTTTTCCTCCCTCCGTGCAATAAATACATGTCCTGAATTAATGAGTGTATTTGCTCGGGTAATGTCAATGGTGCGGCCCATTTCAGGCACATCCAAAATTACAATTTTGAGGGTTTAGGAAAATAATTAAGATGAAGATTAACAGAATCTACATTAAACACTCACTGTCTTATTCTCTCATGTTTTCCAGCTCGTCTGCCTGTTCCTGTCTTCAGCAGATACTGTTCTTCATCATCATCATCACCATCATATTGTTCATTAGATTTGCCCACTCACTGTCTTATTCTCTCATGTTTTCCAGCTCGTCTGCCTGTCTTCAGCCGAACCTTTTCATCATCATCATCATCAAACAACTGTTCACTGGTGTGTTCAGTGTTGAATGTGAGTCATGTGACTCTCTCCTGGTACAAAGGAAACAGTTTATTGTCCAGCATCAGTGTGTCTGATCTCAGCCTCAGTCTCTCTCTACCTCTGGAGGTTTGTCCTGTCCTTCACATATTCTTGTTTTATTAGCTACATCACTAAACATTGTAATATTTATCTCTATCATCTCATGTTTTCAGCTCGTCTACTTGTTCCTGTCATCAGCAGTAACTCTTCACAATGTTCTTCATCATCATCATCATCATCACCATCATATTGTTCATTGGTGTGTTCAGTGTTTAATGTGAGTCATGTGCCTCTCTCCTGGTACAAAGGAAACAGTTTATTGTCTAGCATCAGTGTGTCTGATCTCAGCATCAGTCTCTCTCTACCTCTGGAGGTGGAATATCAGGATAAAAACAGCTACAGCTGTGTGCTCAACAATCCCATCAGCAAGCAGACTCAACATCTGGACATCAGTCAACTCTGTCACACATGTTCAGGTACAGCAGCGCTGATATTAGAGCTTATTGCGCGGCTTTGTGGAATACTCGATTCTGATTGGTCAATCGCTTCATTCAAGTATTTCCTAATAATCACTGTTGTCCATACTGTATTTCAGACCGCATATTTGGTTCAGGCGCGGACTCGCGCACTCTTGATTCATACAAAAGCATCTGCCGCCATCTTGTGTCTCAGTTATTACTTCAGTATTAATATTGAGTATTGTAGCCTTGTTAAGCCATTTGTTTTGACCATAGACTTTAAAAAAAATATGGACGACGTATCTCCACTTCCTTCCACTATAGAAAAGTGAAGCCAAAACATTCTCAGTATGGCCGCTATCATTTTTGGAAAATTATGTAAATTGGAGTAATTTGGGTCTGCGCATTAGTGATCGTGAGGTGGAGCCATGGAATCAAAGTCCCGCCCAAACTCCCGCAGATCCAATCACAAGCTCATAATCATGACACCACACCCCATTTTTATAGCATCAAATAACTAGTTAAAAGCTAAATTGTTAGACACTTGTACATACATCAGCATGTTAAGAACTACCTAAAATTTTTCAGAACGATGAGCTTTTTAAAAATCGATGCGTTTAAGAAAGGCGGGGCATAGAGGAGCAACAATAATGTACATTATGTGGAAAATAATGTGTTTTTTTAACCTTAAACCGCATAAACACATTGCATTACACCAAATACACAACGTCATATGACCCCTTTAATTTGGTCAATAGTCCTGTAAAAGCTAAATAATTAGCTGCTTAGTATCGCAAAATAAATCGCGCTCTGCATTCTGGGCTTTATTCCTCTTTTTCAAAACTATTGAAATGTAAAGAAATCTCAACAGGAACCATAACTGGTCAAATTTACTGCATTTTACAAACAATCTGACATAAGTTAAAAATAAATCTTGAATGTGATAATGATTTAATCGTTTTTAAAAATAAATTGCCATATTGAAATTATAAATTGAAATGTTACTACAGCATATTTAATTCAATCTACTTTAAATCTATGACAAATAAAACAACTGTAACCGATATTTAACGTTATTGACTGAGCAGAACTCGTGTTTCATGTTTTTATTCCTCAGACTCTGTCCACTGTTGTGATTCTACTGAAGCCGATTGGTCGTCACTGCTCTGGTGGGCGTGGCTGCTGCCGCTGCTGTTGTTGTTCTGGTCAGTGGCGCAAAAACGGGGTATGCAGTATAAGCAGTGCATAGGGGCGCCGCACATAGGGGGGCACCACTTTACCGAAATCATTCTGTGAAAATTTCTTCTTTAATAAAACGTTATAAATAATCAAAAGCTTAGTTGTTAAGGTGGAGCCATGGAATCAAAGTCCCGCCCAAACTCCCGCAGATCCAATCACAAGCTCATAATCATGACACCACACCCCATTTTTATAGCATCAAATAACTAGTTAAAAGCTAAATTGTTAGACACTTGTACATACATCAGCATGTTAAGAACTACCTAAAATGACGGAAACCATCTTTGGAAAAAAATTATTTGAAGTGTAAATTGATTATTTAGTTTGTCTCACGTCCCATTAGATTACATGGGGAGGGCGGGGTTTATGACCTATTCTGCAGCCAGTCACCAGGGGGCGATCGAGACACCCTGGCTTCACTTTTCTCTCATGCGGCACACTTGGTTTTGACATTACAAATGTTCGCAGAATATATACAGTTATAGAATAATTTAAAGTCAAATCAATATTTCCCATTCACGTATTTATTAAAGGGGTCATATGATGCGATTTCATTTTTTCCTTTCTCTTTGGAGTGTTACAAGCTCTTGGTGCATAAAGAAGATCTGTAAAGTTGCAAAGATAAAGGGGTCATCGGATGCTACATGCACTTTTACAAGTTGTTTGAACTGAAATGTACACAACCACCCTAAAATGATAAAAATCCACCCGCATTGAGAAATTTTAACCAAACGATGTTACAGACTTTTCATTAAGACCCTGAAGAATCATATCAACTTGTGGAAAATGGGCATCTGATGACCCCGTTAAAGGTTTTTAATGAGTTCAAAAAAGTATTTATTATAAACTGAGTACAAACCAACCGCTCACCCTTCGACACATTACTGTCACAGACACGCGACCAAAATGAATAGAGGAGAGAAATGTTCAGGGGCGCAGAACAGAAAAGACTAAGGAAGAAAAACAATGCATTAAAATGAGGACAGCAATGTCTAAGTGAACTAACAGAAATAGGTAAGCTTACCCTATTATTATTTTTTTTTTCATTGTAAATCATGAAGAGGGCAAAGTGATTAACATTATATCCCTTCATTTCTGTGTATCTCTATTACTCAAAAAATTAAAAAAAGTCACGATATGCTTGTGAATGGGTTAGGGTTAGGGTTTGATTTACATTTGATTGGAAATGAGAAGATTGTTAACAATATAAACTAGCCACGTTTTGCAGAAAATTGCCGTTTTCAGAACTCTTGCTACTTCATACTTCAGTACAAAACAATGCTAAACTTTAACAAAAAATGATTTTTAAATGTTATATTAGGGATTTTATAATGTCTTAAAATACATGCAAAACAGGCAAAATAAACTTGAAAATAAAGTCCAAAAGTTCACTTGCTCCTTTGAGTGTGCGAGCACCCCAAAATCTGATTGGCCTGCACTCCTTCATTAATCTTACAGTGCACCCGTGAATCGGTACCATTTACCTACAGACGGAGTACAAACTCAAATAAACACAAATAAATGTTAAATAAAAAATATATTTAAATAAAGAAATATATTTTAAGGTAAATTAAATACAATACTTAAATTCAACAAAATAAGCACAATAAACAAATATAAAGCTGCTACAATAAATCTAAAAGCAAAACGTGAAAAGTGCTATATCATGGAGTGGAAATGGTAAATGAGACGATGAATGATCCTCTGCTGCCATCTAGTTGTCATAGTGGGAATATCATGACATTCATTTTAATAGTATTTGTTTTTCTACCAGGTGTCAGAAATTTTCCACTTAAGCATGGCAAATTTTCCATTAATTGTCTCTATAAGTAAAAATGAAAAAAAAAAAAAATTTTACATACAGTGTTCTCATTTAATATAAAAATGTACAAAAATATGAATAACTTTGAGGTGAATGAATAATGAATTGCTTGCAGGGAGTTTTCTGCGGGGGTTAGGGGCTAGAATACAGGGGGGCGCCAGCACTGATCTTGCATACCCCTCAGCAAATGTGCAGTTGTGACCCTGGTTCTGGTTTATAGCATCAGATCCAGAAGAGCCGAACAGGATGTTTGATTGCTGATTTTTAAAGTCTTTCTATATTCCTCTTCCTAAAATACTTGATCTGAATTTTGTTTGTTATAGTTTGAATCTTAATATAAGAAATTTGAATCTTAATATAAGAAATGGCTGAAAACACATCTCTTACATCTTTATTTGACCCTCTAACTCTAGCACTCTCTATTCTAATTCTATTTTATCTATTTCTTTTCCTTTTTTTAATTGATTTTATATAAAAAAAAACACATGACCCTCTAACACTTGCACTCTCTATTCGTTTTCTAACTGCTTGTTTTCTTAAAAAAGGCCTTTAACACTAGCTTTCTCTTTTCTTTTTTTCTGTTCTATCTACTTATTTTCTTTTTATTATATGTTTATGTTATATATATATATATATATATATATATAT